CCCCCGATCTACACCTTGTTGGAATTGCAACTGATATCCCTTACCTTTCTTCATTCTTTTTTTTCTTCTTTTTCTTTCTCTCCTCTTTCCCTTTCCCTTCCCTTCCTTCCCTCTCTCTCTTTTAGATTTGCTGGGGGTGGGGGGCAAGGTCATTTTGACCCCCACCCGCTCCACACATTGTTGGCGGGATTAACCGCAACTGATCTCCCCTTCTTTTCTCCCTTTTCTTTTCTTCTTCCTCTTTTTTGTTCCCTTTTAGCTCTCCTCTTTTCCTTTTCATTCCTTTTCTCTCTTTTTTAGCAGGGACGGGGTGGGGGGGGGGGGGGTGGGGGGCAAGGGCCTTCCCCCCTATCCACAACTTGTTGGCGGGAAAATTGCAACTGATATCCCCCTTCTTTTCTTTTCTTCTTCCTCTTTTTTGTTCCCTTTTAGCTCTCCTCTTTTCCTTTTCATTCCTTTTCTCTTTTTTTAGCAGGGACGGGGGGGGGGGGGGGGGGTGGGGGGCAAGGGCCTTCCCCCCTATCCACAACTTGTTGGCGGGAAAATTGCAACTGATATCCCCCTTCTTTTCTTTTCTTCTTCCTCTTTTTTGTTCCCTTTTAGCTCTCCTCTTTTCCTTTTCATTCCTTTTCTCTTTTTTTAGCAGGGACGGGGTGGGGGGGGGGGGTGGGGGGCAAGGGCCTTCCCCCCTATCCACAACTTGTTGGCGGGAAAATTGCAACTGATATCCCCCTTCTTTTCTTTTCTTCTTCCTCTTTTTTCCTTCCCTTTATCTCCTCTTTTCCTTTTTTCTTTCCCTTTCCTTCCTTCTCTTTTATTTTTGGATTTGGGGGGGGGGGGCAACAGCCTGGAAGGCAAGTCCCCCCCCCCCCCCCGATCTCCTTCTTCCCTCTTTTCTTTTCTTCTTCCTCTTCTTTTTTCCCTTTCTCTCTTTCCCTTTCCCTTCTTTTCCTTCTCGCTCTCTCCTTTTTTTTGGGGGGGGGGGGGGGCTGGGGGGCTCGGCCCTCCCTTGATCCGCGCTTGGTAACACCTACCTTTTAACTTTGTTTAACAGTGTAGAGGCCTGTATTTAAAATCAGTATCCTTTGATTGTTGATTATTACTCAGTATACTTTTGAGTAATTTATTTGTTTGATAATGATTCATTTGACGGACTACTTTCTTTGGGTATGTTAATGTTTTCTGTAAGGTAATTTGTTTGTGTAAATATAATATAACAGTGTTTCAAGAACGAAACAGTGCATACGAGCAGGGGCGTTTCCAAAGAGGGGAGTGTGGGGGTGCGACAACCCCCCCCCCCCCCCCACCTGTCAGGATATTGTCGGTAAAATTGCGCTGCCGTCGGGAAAAAAGAGATAAGGGGGGGGGGGAAGAAAGAGAGGGAAAGAAAAGAAAAGAAAATAGGAAAATGAAAAGAAAGGAAAGAAAGGATAGGAAAGGAAAAAAAGGGAAAAGAAAGGAGAGAGAAAAAGAGGGAGGAGAGGAAAGAAAGGAAAAGAAAGAAAAGGAAAAAAAGGAAAAAGGAAGAAGAAAACAAAAAGAGAAAAAGGAAACAAGTGGAGGTAAGAGCCTGATAGAGGAGGGGTGGGAGTAAACGAGAGAGGGGGTTGTTGGGTGGAGTTGTCTCGTCGAGGGAGCAAGAAAGATACGCATAGATATAATTATATAAATTAATGTCTGGCTACACCATTATCTCGGGCACATGTAGCGGGAGGCGGGCACATCTACAGGGAGGTGGTTATTTGACAACGTAAAACACGTAGAATCCAAAGAAATCAATGAAAAGAAGATAAATTGATATTTGTGAAACTCAATTGTATCTTAGGAAGCTTTATTATATCCATGACACGACGGAAATTCAATATACAACACTAGTTGTATGCCTCACTTCATTTCCCCTATCTCGGGCACATGTAGCGGGAGGCGGGCACATCTACAGGGAGGTGATTGTTAGACAACGTAAAACACGTAGAATCCAAAGAAAATCCATGAAAAGAAGATAAATTAATATTTATGAAACTCATTTGTATCTTAGGAGCTTTATTATATTCATGACATGTCGGAAATTCAATATACAACACTGGTTGTATGCCTCAATACATTTCCCCTATCTCGGGCACATGTAGCGGGAGGCGGGCACATCTACAGGGAGGTGGTTGTTTGACAACGTAAAACACGTAGAATCCAAAGAAAATCCATGAAAAGAAGATAAATTGATATTTGTGAAACTCATATATAAGGGAGCTTTAATGTTACATCCGTGAACTCTCGGATATTGAATATAGAATACTATTTTATTACACTAACTCGATCCCTATCTCCATCGGGCACATGTAGAGGTAGGCGGGCACATCTACAGGGAGGTGGTTTAGCCGACGACCGAGTTGGTCACTTGTTTTTTGGAGTTAAAAAGCGACCAAAAGAATCGCCAATTTTGTATAAACTGTATCAAAAATGTATCAAAATCCACACTAAATAAATTTACTTAACACTCAAACACTTCTACCTCATAATCACGGACAATACAAATGTATAATGGTAAGATTTTGCCCTGATTTGTGTTGCACGTATTACCTTCATTGAACAGTCATGACCCCAATTCTGCACGTACGTACGTACGTACGATCGTACGCGCGCAGTCAAGAATATCAATATTCATGACTTGACAAGACGTCACTGATATGCATATTCATTGACCTCCTTGTAGATGTGCCCGATTAGAGGCTACCGGTTTATACATGTATTAACAGACAGTAATATTGTAACAAATTTCAAACCCATCGCATTTCTTTTTTCCGGTCAATTCAATATGTGTATTCCCTTTTTAAAGTTACACATACGTGCATCGGTGAGCTCGAACAAGGGCCGTTATAATAAACTTGTTTACTTGCAATCCCACCTTGAGAGTAGCACCTTTGTGTTAACTGTAGACACATAGGCATAGGCTATATGCGGTATTCCACTGTTACACTTAAGTACCCGCTAGTGTAAGTGAATACTTCACTTTGTAATCGTATTCCTCGGTAGGTATTGTGTGCCACTGTCATTATTGTCAAGAACCAACTTTTGAGCACAAGAGTGCCGGTACATTAGATTTGGATGAAAATTTGTATTCAGAGATTTTGTGCATTACAAGCTATTGGCAGGTATTTCATTTAGTGGTAGCTCAACTTAACTTCTTTAACCCAATGACCCCAGTTCACAAAGGTGGTTTAAATCTCCATTTACATAACCCGTCGTCTGAAATTAGCACAAAATAAGCGTGACACAGTCAGAGGTTCAATATTAGATGCACGCAAGGTAAGGCACACTTACGGTAATTTGCGCTTAGAGTGCAGTTTTCTTATGTTCTAAATGAATCACCTTTACCTCCTCAAGTTGGCAACAATTATTTGTATTTCCTACTCATGCATAGTGTAGAAAAATAAAAATGTGTATTACATTAAACTGTGAATGAAAATCCCCCCAAATCAACAAGAAATTGCCAATTTGTACACAAATATGATTATTAATTTCAATCTGCCATAAAAGTTCAGAGATTTCAATGATTACTGTAATTCGGAGCATTTTGGATCAAGAGATAAAAATTAAAACATCACTGAAGGTGACACCAAACTGCTATGGGTTATTTCATGATGGCTTTATCAATGAGTTAAAGGGGCAAATCACCTAGTATTTGCATTGCAGTGGAGCATTCTCTGAAGGAAGGAAATCAGTTGGACACAGTGGCATTATGGGTCTTATACCAGGAACTACTTCCTTGTGTTTTAAAGGGGAAAATTATGTTGGATAGTTTATTTTATATCTACCGTCAAATCTGTGTCTCGTCTGTTTAGAGCCAGAAAGGTGTTAAGTCGTATTGATTCAGAGCCCTAAAGTAATATGCCAAATGCATGAGTAGAATTTTTGTTTCATGACTACATGTATGTTGCATTTGATGCTTGGAATTGTAAAAAGGAAAATAAGCTCTAGAATCCTTAAAATAGCAACATGTTGAGAGATTCAAAATCTTTGTTTTTCAAACCAAACTTAGCCATTTATTCAACTTCTCATTAACATTCTCGCCCATCACGGCCCATGTATATTATTCTAAGAGAACAACGTAGCAATAAAAAAACAATATTATTGTTGCCAATTTGAAGAACAATATGTGATTAACCCTAAAAATAGACCCTATTATCCTGAAAGGGTTAACATAGTGTTAAGACCTTTGTGGCTCCAAACACATGAAGAACACCTGTGGAAAAGTAAGCGTCATTGCTTTTATAAAGCAGGGTTGTGTAATAAAACTTCAGTCAAATTTCCATTTGTACATCCGGTGATAGATCTTCAGTATTAAACGTGAACCTTGTATCATCAGACACCGTAGACACGTAGGATTTCTTTTTTGCTGTAAAATGTATATTCTGATATTAATATATTCTACATTAATATCACTGAAATTACTGGATAAAATAATAAAACAATTTAACTTACCAAATGTTTAAGCTGACCTGGATGATAAGAAAACTGGTTATTTTTGTATTAGCCATGAATGTAAACACAGATGTAATATTTACAGAAATGGACACAAAACAACACAACATGAACCACAAATTTATCATGTATTTAATTTGATATCTTTTGTATAGATTTTTTTTTTTCTCACATTTTCAACATCATAAATGCAGGGCAGGTATGGTAATTTATCTTGTATTGTGTGAGCACCTAAAAAATGTTTGCTACAATGCATAGTACAATGAGGCCTAAGTACAATATAACCAATGGTGCAGATTTCCATCTCCATTCATGTATGTGTGTATAATTTGGTTTTCAACGACTTGTATTACGGTAATCAGATCTGATTATAGCTAGAAACCAACCTTTAATGGCTCCATCTGGAAGACGAGACTTGAGATCGAACCCTGGGTTGTTATCTTGGTGGATCAGAGAATTCATCACTAGACTAACTCATTTATGCTTAATAAAAACAAGGAATTATTTTATATTCTATTTCACAGCATTCATGCCAGCTCAACCAGCTGCAGGGTCTGCCCCCTCTACCAACAACTTTGGGGCATTTGAGTCGGCGTTCGCCCCCCAGTCTGCCCCTGTCCCTGTTGTCTCCTCCGCCCCCCTCAACCCCACCGTGCAAGGTTTACAGGGGCTCTCCATCGCCAACGCAAGTCCTCCGTCAGGGGGCGCGGCTGGGTCAGTAGGCTCGTCGGGTGGGGACAAGTACGCTGCATTCGCTTCCCTGGACAGTACTCCGCCCCAGGAAAGTGCCAGCGTCAACTGGAGCGGAGGAGGAGGAGGGGGTAGAAGTGCATCTGGTGTTATCGACTGGGGTGGTGGTGGTAGTAGTGCAGCTCCTCCCAAGACTTCATCTAGCTCTGGATTCGATTGGGCTGGAGGGATGGCCAAGTCGTCACCGCAGGCGTTTCCAGGAACAGCCAGCGCATCAGCCACATCATTAGGGACGCCGTCCACGTCTTCATCACAACTGTTTGGCTCAGCACCTTTTGGTGCACAGCAAGGTTAGTGTCTTCTGACAGAGATTAATCTTAGGGGTCCAGTCTGCTTTGATAAATCATCTTTTGAAAGATTTATATTAATAGACCAGGGATGCCAGTTTTCAGGCAATAGCCTGAATTCAGGCCCTAGCGATTTATTTTCAGGTCATAGTTTAGGTCTTTTTGTGTACAAAATAGCTCATTCTAGGTGATTTGCAGGCCCTCTGAACAATTCCCTGCATAGATTCCTGGGGTCATATCCTTTTCTTTTCTGTCTTTCACCTCTTTGTACTTGTCACAGTGATTGAAATCTCAAAGAAAACACACCCTTTTGGTTTGTGTTCACATTGTTGTCTGTGTGAGTTGTCTGTTAGTGTTGACATGGTTGTCACTGTGAATCATTTGTTTGTTCTACCATATTTGTGTATTTATTAGACAGTAGCTTATTCTGATTAAGATCTGATATGATAATTAAAACACCTCTTCCTAAAGTAATGAACAGTTTCCTTTATACCACCCCTGCAAATTAAACTGTTTATTACTTTGGGAAGAGGTTAATACTCTTTAGTTTGTAACTTTGAAATTGTCAGGTGTTAAATGTAAAATAAAGGATGGGTACTTTGTATTTGAAGTAGGCAAGTCATAATTGATATTTACAACTCTTTTCCTTTCATCAGGAGCACCGCAGGGTAATCCCTTCATGGCTATGTCTTCAAGCGGTGCTACCCAACCAACAAGTACTATGGTAAACAACCCTTTCCTAGCAGGCGGAACCCAAGGGGCTCCTGCCCAAGCAAACGGACTCTTTGGTATGCAGCCAGCTGGAGCTCCAGGGATGCCTGCACAGAACCCTATGATGATGCCAGGAGCAGGTGGAGCCTTCAACCAGCAAATGCCTCAGCAACAACCTGGAGCCAATATGCAAATGAATGGAAGAGTAGGGGCAGGGTTTCCTCCTCAAGGACAGTTTGGCGCGGCTGGTGGTTTTGGTGCCATGCCTCAAGCTCAAGGTGTGATGCCTAATCAGTTTGCGATGGGTATGCCAGGAGGTCAGCAACCGCAGCAAACCCCTCAAGGAGGCTTAGGATTTGGGGGTGCGGGTATGGCCGCAATGGCAGGACTACAGTTTAATAAAATGGGCCAACCACAGCAGCAGCCGATGGGACAGTTTGGTGCACCTCAACAACCTACGCCGCAAGGTCAGCAACAGATGGCTGCATGGGGAGCAGCACCTAATGCAGTACCACAACAGAATCCTATGGCTCCTAATCCTTTCATGGTGAGTCAGGCTTGCATTTCACTTAAAGGCCCACTGCACTATTTGTAGCTACGTGCGCCCTCTACACTGTATATAACAAACAATGCCTAATCGGTGACCATTGGCCCCCCATGATCCTCTTTTTCTTATGTTAACTGAGAGCTGAGTTGATAAGATAACCACCTGTCCAGTGACCTTTCAGTGTGGTCTAATCTCTCCTGTAAACTAATACAGAAAAGCTTTAATACAATTCATATTGATATGTTGAGGTGTTTTGATATTGTGAATAAGTTAAATGGACTATAGACAACATGGTACTGTGTTCGAACTCCTGTCATAACCTGATGTCCTTTTGCAAGACAAACTGGCAATTGTCACTCTTGGCCCTAGTGAAGTATATGTCAATTGGTTCCTAGTAGGAAGTTCTGCATGCTTTATCTTGTAAGTACAGCTAGAGCCAGGGTATTAGCAGTATTCTATAGTTTGTATCCCTGGGGAAAAGTTTTGACTTTATCCAACTTCTGTAATTCATAAATTTAAAGTGGAAGACCACTCTGGCATCAAGATGATTTCAGTGAAAGTAGAATACTTGTGTTAACGGGTCATTGAAAGTTTGAGAAAAATAATTGACAAAGCTTTGAAGATTACTACTAACATTTAAAATTCAATGATTTCTTTTGACCAATTCCCCCAGGATCAACAATCCGAAGTGATTACCATTTTGTTATACTATCTCATCAGCAATGGGGTTGGGTTAGGTGTCCAGGGGGGTGTTTCATAAAGCTGTTCGTAAAGTTACGCATGACTTTACGAATGACTTGTGTATGAAAAGCCAAATGGGATGCTCAATCATTATTAACTGCATCAACTAAAGTTGAATTGTGCATATGTAGATTAACATTCTTATTATAACAAACATTTTCAATGCAAAGTCTATTTTTTGCTATAATTTAATTGAGGTTATTGGAAATATCAGAAAAAACTTTGGGCATCCTATCTGGCACTTCATATACAAGTCGTTCGTAAAGTCATGCCTAACTTTACGAACAGCTCTATGAAACACCCCCCTGGGGTAATTGTTTTAGAATCCATAACATGTAATCCTCTGTAGATTATTTTAATTTCATTCCGTGGCACTAATGTCCTTTGCCATTACATTAATCTACGATTGCCACTGAATTGATATGAGCGCTATGAAAATATCCAATATTATTATTATGATTATTATTATTATTATTATCATTGTTGTTATTATTATTGTTATTGTTATTATTATCATTATTATTATTATTATTATTATTATAATCACAATTATTATTTCCTGTCTCCTTTCCTCTCTTTACTTTTCTACCAGATGCAAGGGGGAGGAGGGTTCGGCGCCCAAGCTGCCCTTCCACCAAAGAGCAGTAACACCAGCAATCCATTCCTCTAATCATCACATCACCAACCAACCCACCTACATACGTCTTCATCCATCGAGACTAGACCTTAGTATCCCTAGAAGATGGCCAGTCCAGCCCCCTTCCATTTGAGAACAGCCAGGATTGGGTCATTAGAGAGAACAGGACTTTGCTGGATGCAACTGGAATCAACTGGAATCAACCGGAATCGGCTGGAATGAACTGGATTCAACTGGATTCATGATATTGGTGTTGTGGATGGAGCCCTTATGGCTGCTTTGAGTGGTGTTAGAGGCTCTTCTGTGGTGGACATGTTGATGTCCTACACCCAGTTGGCTCCAGCTTCAAGAGATCAGGGGGTGTTTCACAAAATCAGTGACAAATGACAGTTTCTGTTATAAGCTACTGAAATCCTTGCTTCTGATTGGTTATCAGCAGATTTGTCATTGATTTTTGTCATTTGTCATTGAAAAAAGGCTTTGTGAAACAGGTCCCAGGAATGCAGGTTATATGAAAATAGAACTGTCTGTAGATGTGAACTGAAATTGCAGACCTGGATGGAAGAAAAAGAGTCTCTGTTCCAAATCCCATCTTTTGACACAACTAAGAGATATTCCTAGAATCATTATGCCACTGACGTTGTCTGTAGTTTCTAGCATAGAAAAAACATTATTTCCCCTTTTCTCTACCCTCTCTCTTGTCCTCCTCTTTCCCTCTTTGTGACTGCAGTTATTCTACCAATACCAAATGAAAGCAGGAGAAAAGGGCCAGGCACATATCTCCAGTTAGAAATGACAATCTCGATGATTAAAATTGGTCCATTTAGAAAAGATACTGGATATCATGGTTGCCATTTGATTAATGCAATGAGCCTTCAGCATCAATTTTTCTATGACTCAGTACCCTTTCTACAGTGACCAAATTTATTATTATGGTTATCATTATTGATATCAACTACACGTGACAGGACATCAACCAGGTAAATTGGTTACAATAAAAGCACAAATTTAACAGTGAATTGTCTTTAGGAATGATTTGTCTTCTCTTTTTCTTATTGAAGCCAACTTCACTAATTCTAGAAATGGTAATCAAGGACCTAAATGTTCGGATTCTGATCGAAGCAAAAGATACTTTAAGCCTGCAAGATAGAAATATTTGTACACAGCGTTTAGAAATGTGATATTCTAACCAAGATCTTCATTCGGATATTCCATACACAGATTAGAATACTAGATAACACCCCATTGTATATCATCAGTATTTGAAATTAAATTCTGCTCTCTTTTTTCTGTTGTTATCATACCAAGGCTTTATTTTTATTTTTCTTCTATTTATTGGCGCTTCCACTATGTTGTCTCATTGACCACCAAGCATAAATGTGCTTTAGTTGGAATTATATGAATGTATGAAAACAAAACAATATCTCACATATCCTGTAGGCAGCCTCTTTATAATAATATAAATGTGATAATATTACATAATTTAGAAAACGCCTTTCCATAAGATACAGAGCCCATAAAACAGAAGTACGAGAAAGGAGAAGAGCCCCTTAACTTGCAGCTAAGGATGGTGTTGATGTATAAACGTTATCTATGAGGGCTTGATTTCAGAAAGTGTGGTATAAAGGCAAAGTTTAGTGTCTAAGACTATCAATGACATAGAAAATCTCCATGACACAGTTAAGCAGTTTATTGTGTATCAGACCTGATAATCAAGATTGCTGGATATGCCAACTATTAGCTAATTATTAAAACATATTTTGAATAATGTCATACTATTGCAAACTGTATGTGCTAGGGGCTTTTGCCTATTCCATGTGTCATTCAGTCTTGGTAACACTAAGTTTGCATGATGTTAGGATATGCCTCTTTATGATGATAGCGCTTGGAGTTCATTCAATATTGCTTGCATAGAAAGAAATACAAATGTCAAAGCTCCAGGGTCACCAGAAGTACACGTGTATCAGACTTTGGATCAAAGGTCATTCATGATATTGGTAAAAGTCAAAAAGATGGTGAAGTATGTTCACCTCATTTTATTATTTTCTCAACCCTCTTTTAAATCAAGGTACACAATCCTACCAAATTTGGCTCTGAAATGCCTGCAATTTTTGTTTGATTAAATAGTCGACATGTTTTTTATAAATTTTGTCAGGTACAAGACATAACTAGTATCTGTTATGGCTGAATATATCCTTATTTAATCTTGCAAGTAAAATTGTATCTAAGCTTGAAAAGTTTTGCCTGCATGATTCTGTCTTTTTACACCAAGTAATTCTCTAGAGAGAGAACACTAAAGAGATAAACATTGAAACCCCTCCCGCCAGATCGTCATCTATGAAATTAATCTTTCAAGGCTATTTGAAGAAAACTTCTTGTTGAAGAAAAGGCGCCTTTCCAATCAATTCCAGATCTTGACCAATATTCTGTGGCCTTGTTGAACTTTGAAAGTACAAATACCAAATGAATCCATACACAGTGTAGTAGAAACTTCAAATTGTTAACATAGGATGATAAATGTATTGTAGTTAACACGAGTTAAGAGGTTTTACCAGTTGAATTTGAGGGATGTATTTTTTAATCTCGAGAAACTTGAGAAGAGCAATTGGTAGTTTTAAATTACTACAGATGTTGGTCATCAACATAATTGTATTCTATTCCAGGAAAATTGCAGTTTGGTTGAAACTGAAGAATTATTAATCACTTTTAATTGCAATTATCACATGGGCATGAATTTTTAACACTAGAAATGTAGATTTGGAGGCAACAGTGAAATTCTAATTGATATGAGACAGTATAAAATATGAAATGAGAATCATTCCTTTAGAAAACCTAGATGGTTCCAAACGAAGTTGTCTTTTCTGTAGGATATTGTCCATATGTGTTACGTTTGTTTCATTTTCATTGCTAAGGGGCTCTTTTTCTCCTTTTTTTGTTTTTTCGCTGAAAGTAAAACTTTATTCAAAATGCTGTATATATATATATAGCATTTGGTATTTGAGCTTAAAAGAGGCCGATATTTTGATACTGTGTGTGCATAAATACATTTTAACAATTTGTTAGGGCCTGGTCCTGAATCCCTTGCGAGCAGAATCTTTATCTCTCTGTCAGGTTAGATTTTCAATTACAGTCAAACTTGTCTTGGCGGCCACCTCCCTATAAAGGCCACAATGAACATCCATGTATTTTGTCTCCCTCAAGAAACAAATGCATGTTGTAAAACCTGTCTACAGTGGCCACTTTTTCTGTTTCCCTTGGATATCCTTAATAGACAGGTTCGACCATATTAGAAAAAGGTTTAATAGTTTATTGTCTGTTTGGAGCGAGTAGGCTGTTTACTCTGAGTAACATAGAAATTTACCCTCTTGTGGCTCCAAACAGACTTAAGTATATTATTATTAAACTGTCAAACAATATCCCATCTCCGTTCATCTGTCTAGAAATTACACGGTTTTGATCTTGCTTTAAATGAAAATGTGGTAGGTTATCAAGATGATATATGTAAGCAACCCAGGCTAGAAATTCAATATCTATTCATACAAATTATACTCAACCCATTAGCCTCTGATTTATTGTGGCATTGTGCTGGAGATCAACTGTTGCATGACAGCTTTACCAGAGCATAACCTACCTGGGCCCCTTTTCATAAAGAGTTGTGATTGGTCTGAATCAATTGCAAGTCCTTCAATCAATCGCAAGTTTACAATCAATCGCAAGTTTACAATCTCCTGTCTCTTAAATACATAGTTGCGATTTATTTATTATTCGCAAATAAATATCAACTCTTTATGAAGCGCAGCCCTGGTTACATAGGCATGTTATAAAACCCATCCTTTTTAATATATCAAGTTAGTTATCTCTTGCCTAGTATATATTTATTCCTAAATGACCAATAACCCCTTTTATGAATTATCCATTAGTTATGCATCATTAGCACCAACATTAACCCCATTTTCTAATCTCATTTTGATATTTACAAGTCCATTATTAACATTATATTTGGCTCATTTATTGTGTAACTTGACAGTAAATTATATTTCCGAATATCATTTAACCATTTATGATTATCTGTCATTCAAGTATTTATATGTTGTTCATTTTCATTTTAGTATATATTTTTGAATTGTCATCTCTCCTTTCTAAACACCCCAGTACTTTATATGTGCTGCACTAAGCTCTTCAAGACGGCACATATATTTACATTTTTGTTCATGGAGCTTATGTTTAGCATATACTGTAAAGGAATTCATATATATTTTGTTTATTAAAATGCTTATTTAAATTTTGTCATATGCTGTACATGTATAAATTAATTAACAAATGTGTATTAATTTCTTGAGAATGATCACCATCGAGGTGTGATGATCGTATCTTTGTCTAATCCAAATTCATGTACATGGTTTATAGAACTTTTTTTGGAATGGAGAATGGTTCTGTGCACTCGGAGGCTAGCTGTAAAATGTGCGATATATGAAATAAAATGTTCTTGTTCTTTTACATATGTTTTTTGTATTTCATATTGTGAAGGGCATTGTTTTTCAGAGTATACTATTAAGGTCACAGTTATCATTTCTACCGAATGCAATCTTAAAGCATTGCAGTGGCATGCTTGTAATTTGAATACATTTATGAAATGGTCCTTTTTTCATAGCACTTCAGTTCATACCAGTATTATTTTTTATAAGCCAATGAGAATATTGATTTTCTTGGCTTTTGTCAACAAATTTCTGTACAACTTTGGCGATCATTATTCACGTTAAATGATAACACACACTTTGCACATCAAATGGCCCTGTCAGCTAACTGCACCAAGACATCCTTTTTGGATCTATCCACCATTTAATTATACCAGAACTTGGTGTAAGGGTTGGGTTTAGGTTTTGAATTTGATTTAGGTTGAATGGCACATAGATATTTAAGTTTATTAGACTAATTGGCCCGAATTCACAAACCTCCTTTTGTTTTTTACAAACCAGGTTTGTAAAAAACGCGTCAAAACGCGTCATATGACGTACATAAACCTCCGTTTGTCGACAAACCTCCTTTGTGAATTCGGGCCAGAATGTTCAGACCAGTGATATATATAGTCCTCTGTACAAATACAATAGTTTAGAATTCGCTGGATGTTAGTGCACACTTTGGAGATAGATTCCTCTTAGTTTTTCTTGCACTTTTTGGAGTTGGTATTTTTGCTTCGTATTTTATTACTGTACTGAAATAGAAAAATTTCTTGGGTGTCCAAAAACAGAAGTTAGTAGCTAGAGCAATGCACAGTCCCATATTGAAAATGACATATTTGTAGTCCGATGTAGGAGAGGAAAGGCCATTATCATCATGATAAGCCTGGTTCTAAGTGGCTTGTATCGGGCTGGAAAATAATATTCGTTAGCAGACCTCAGCGGCCTGTCACACACAAAGATAAAAGTCATAAGGATGTTCAAGCTGTCGTATCGTCTATTTGGAGCCAGAAGGTTGTTAACATCGGTTAAATAATTTTACAAAGAGTTAGTGCCCTTCTAGCCCCAACATGCAATATGAGTTTACTCCTTACCTATGGAAAATGATTGGTCAATGTGTTAAGCAAATGGCAGTTAAAGAAGTCGGTAGTCATTGGGTTAAAACCCTTCTGGCTCTTTGCAGACAAAGTGAGGTTTTATGCTGCAGTCTTGTTGATACTCAATTGAGTGTATTCACTGCCTACCCGGCAGTGAATGCACTCCCATTTTCTGTTTTTTGTTCATTGTAAGGCTTTCTTTCATTATTTTGTTCATGCTGCCTTTCATCACGTAATGTGCTTTCATGAAATGCAGGCTTTTGAGTCCATTCTAGAAGTTAGGAGTCCATGTATGCAGTTGAAATTTGTTCCAGAGAGCTATCTACGTGTACATGTACCTTATCCTTTAGCCATTGAATTGGTGCAAGAAATTTAGATGATTTTGTTTTGTAATGGTGGGTACAAAATTAAGGAAAAATTGATAAAAGCTGCTTGTGGGATGTTATATATTATTACAATTCTCTGTCTTTGTTTGCAACAGATTGTATGGTGTATGTGCAATAGAGATAAGTGAATATACATGTACATTACCCACAGTATGTACATTTTGGCAATGTATCCAGTTTTATATCACAAATTTACCACATAGAATGGTAACATCACAGGAAAGGGATTTATTGCTTCATACTTTTTGGCCTGTATATTTTTACTCTGACCTCGAATCTTAATTTCAACAATTAAGGTGCCACTTGCTTTAAAAGTTTTGATTGAGCCTGACTAAAAAGATAAACGCAAGTCCCATAATCGTGATCCCAATTGCAAAATCAAATTGCATTTATTTTGTAAAGTTGTGTTTAATAGCAATTTATTTAATTTGTAGAGGCCACTCTTGGTCATTCTTTGCACCTGTGACTTACATTGTGAAATCGTTTACAAGATAATAACATCTTAGTCCTTGGGTCAAGAGGGGGAATATTTCTGCCATCCTCTTCTCCAAAATTGTGTTCAGTTTTTATGTAGGGGTATTGGAAATCCTCAATTCTTTTGCTCTAGTTAAAGAAGCCCCAAATGTTGGTGTTTTGGGGGGGGGGGGAGGGGGGGGGTTCTTCTACTAAATTTCTCTTTTCTTCATTTGTCTGTATGTAAGGCCCTAAAATCAGTGCATCTTACCAGCTTTTCTTGTTGGCAACATAAAGTACCAGGATGCATTCCCCTTTATTGTTATATGAAATGCTGATAAGACTCTAGAGAAAGTTTTCACATACTCTGGACTTCTGGAGAACATTGAATCGATGTTTGTCTTTTTGTAGTCTGTATGCCGCTCCGAGTGCATAGTACGAAGATAACGTCTCTTGAAAAACGAAAAATATTGATGGATTTATATTCTTCCAAGGGGTATACATGTAATGTGTATTTATATTTGGTATTTGTATTTTATATTGTTACTCTGTTGATAATCCCCGACGGCCAGGCAATGTGGTGTTGTAAATTATATCAAAATCTTTTTAGAAAAAAAATATGACAGGCCCGATTTCTTAAGCGAGTTAATTGTAATTCTTTTGTGTTCTTACTGGTCCGAATTCGCAAAGGAGGTTTGTCGACAAACCTATGTTTATGTGCGTCATATGACGCGTTTTGACGCGTTTCAAACAAAGGTTTGTCTGCACCTTGGTCTGAAACGCATCGAAACGTGTCATATCACGCACATAAACATAGATTTGTCGACAAACCTCCTTTGTGAATTCAGGCCTTTGTGCTTAGCCAAACGTCCATGTGTGTATAAAAACCACCGAGTCCTACATGTCAATTTGAATTGATTGACCAGTTTCCTGTGCAAAGATATGAAGGGTTGCACCCAATGCGTCATTTCGATTGAGCTATTACCTGCGCTAATATGACCCGTTAGAAAATGCTTTGCATGCACTATAGTAGTTCAAATCAGTATTTGCAATGTTCATTTTGCGTTCATCCGTTATCTCTCTTCTACATACATGCGTCAGAGACTGCGTCAAAGATTTTGTAACTCGTTGACGCATTTCTGCGTCAGCTGACACCTCGTGTGCAATGCGCATTTAGTTTTTCTTCTTGCTTGCTGCTCTTCCTATTATCCTAGATGTGCCCCCAGCGCAACACTAAACTTTTATTTTTCAAGCAAAATCTACATGTATACTAGTAGCGACGCGCTGGTTCAGTGTTACACTGGATATCGGAATTTGGGAGATTGTCATTTTTTAAAGTTGGTAACAAAAAGTTTGTTTAAGAAATCGGGCCTAGGCGCGTCGGAGATGTGAATTGTAACGTTATGACGCATCCAGCTCCATGTGTATGTATGACGATGGAGGGGAATTAAAAAAAGAACTGCGGAAACCAGAAAAAAGTGGACTATTATGTCTCATTTTTGTTCGTCAGACTGATAATTTATCCTCTCTCCCTCTCCCTCTCCCGCTCTCTCTCCCTCTCTCTCTCCCTCCCTCTTTCTATATCTCTCTCTCTCTCTCTCTCTCTCTGCCTTTCTCCCTCCCTCCCTACCCACTCTGTCATGTATTTTTATTTTAAAGATAACATCGTTTTCAGAGCACGAATCCAGGTTAACCAATTTAACCATAATTTGTCAATACATGTGCCTTGAATTAATTTGTCAGTATCAAAATCTGATGGATATGAATAATCAAGAATATGCTGGTAATTTCATAGTAAGTTAGAGATGTAGAAATTTGTATCAACGAATATCACTCTATGGGCATTGTTCCGATATATTATGTAGAATTGTATAATGCTGACCTTCAGTGTTGTTTTACCGATCTATTGAAATCTACAACAAAAGGGACAATCGATTTTGATTTATCACGTTTTCGTTTCCCTGGTAATAGTATAATGGTAATATAAAAATAAAGACTCATTTTATATTCTTTATAGGCTTTCCGATTGACGTGCCAGCTGTGCAGAAACAATTGTAATATGTTCTAGGATTCTTTTTTATCTAGCTTAGATCATACAAAATCATTCATTCTCTTTCACAATTAAGTATACCCAGACGCTGTATGTCCGGACAGGCTGTGTATCTGAACAGTTGACTTAAAAACAACAATTTGAAGCAGTTTACAAGCAATATTTCATTAATCTTCTAAGACTTAATTAATATGTTGGACAATATTATACAGGACGAATATTCATGATGGTTAGTGCTCTTTGATGAATACTTTTAATTGTATCCGAAAGCAAAAGAGAAGGGTGTAATTTTGTTAAGTGTCCGGACACCCCCCCCCCCCCCCTCCCCCATTCATACTATCACAACTTTACAACCTCTATGTGGAGCTGGAATAAATGTAAATACGTGTGTGTATATAAATTATGACAATCAAAAGCGAGGCTTTTTGTGGAAGTTTTTTTATATTTCTATAGGTAAGTCCTTCTCCAGGCAGTGTAAAAAAAAATAGCAAACTTGAGTGGCAGTAAATAATAAACATGTTTATTAATTTCAAGGAGCAATCCTTTTTAATATTTTTTGTAATATGAGGATGGCTATGACTACAATACCCTTTTCATTAGAAATCGCCCCTTAATCACGCCCACAACTGTTATAACGGATGGCATGAATGGAATCGAAAGGTTATCGTGGCAATATTTTCTTGACAAGACATGTATTTCTAAAACCGGCCGTTGAATGTCTCGAGGCTGTTTCATTCTCATCACGCGTTCTATTCTGTCAATTATATATTGATGTTTATGAAACTGGATGCATTTATTCATAGACTGCTAAATTAGTATCATGTTAATAATAGAGTTTTCAATCAAAAGATAAGTTCACATCTATTTCAGATGCAGTTATCAACATGATCAAGTACATATTGGTTAAAAGAGAAATCCAACTGTATAGAGTTATGGTATAAGTTACAGAATAGACGTTACATTAAGGAGTTTGTTACTATGTCGGGAAAATTCTGAATGATTATAAGAGAATAGGTGGTCATTCGATATTCCTACCCACCTCCCTTTTCTTTCTTTTTTAGCTGTTGATAAGGAGGAAATGTTGGAAAATGTTCTCCATGCATTCCATCCGCCATCTTTCTCCCCCCCCCCCCCCCCCTCTCTCTCTCTCTCTCTCTCTCTCTCTTCCATGGGAGAATTTCGTATTACCGGTATGTTGATACAAATACAAATTACATGGACATTTCTGGAGCTTGGAGGTGTCGTGGTAGAGTGGTTTAGTCGCTCGTCTTTCAATCCACGGTTTGGGGGTTTGAATCCCAGCTCGGCATTGGCAAATCCTTAATCCACATTAAATTGTTGTCACTCTCCGACCATGTGTAAATGTAGTGGACCTAGCAGTTTGCTGGGGTAATAATAAATGCAGAACCCACAAGAAAGAGCAGTATACTGATATGGCTACACTAGGTAAATAAGACACAATCATTATTATTTCATTATTTTATAAACGCTTTAAAGATAAGATGTATATTAAACATAAAGTTCAACTATTATAATGAAAGAATAATACTACAATGTAAATGCACGCTTTATCAAGTTTATGATCTGAAGATATCCGCGTGTATTCTGCGTTGCATTACCCACGCAATAAAGATTTCTTTAAAAATTGAAAAGACTGAGAATTTCACTCGAAGCTGACAACTTTGAGGACTACAAAAACATGATCAATTACACTCTATATCTGTGCACTCCCTCTATTGTCTCATGCCGTATTGCCGCGAGGCTGACGTGCGCTGAAATGTTAATGGAAATTAAGTGCTTAATCGAGCGTTACCATGACGACGAACCATGTATTAATCTTTCCCTTCGTCGGTATATAGAATGATGTTGTTTGTCGTCTGCCATCAAGAAAGAGAGGTATCAATGGAGGGTAAATAATATGATAGATATATGCCAGTATGGCGAAGCGTATATAGTGTAGAAGTGGGTTGGGGTTGCATACTCCTAGTGATGTAGCGTGGGTCCATCGAGGGGCATGCATGCTCTTACAAAAAAAAAGTGTTTTTGTCCAAATTACCATCCACCGCTCGAAAAAAAATGAAATACATTGGGTCATTAAACAATGAATTTTATTGTTTTGGAACCATGATAACCATGGTGGATGGTAATTTGGACAAAAAAAAACATGGTTACCATGGTACTTTTTTGTGTTGGAAAAGGGGGTGGGGGGCAGCACCGAAATCAGTGGATGAACATTGGGGCGAGTTCAATTAAGCCATGGAGTGAGGGGGAGGGTGTAGGTAGAGGACGCGTATCATATCTCTCCTTCTTTTAGTTGGCTTTCCGTTTCTCTCTCTCTCTCTCTCTCTCTCTCTCTATCTCTCTCTGTTTCTCTCTCCCTATACTCTCATCTTTCTTAAATTCGAGAGGGGCGTACTAGCAGTTGACGATCAATGATAGTGTTGAGTTCGAACATCTCCTATAGCGCCAAGTTCCGATTGAGACCCTTTCAAGCACACAATTTGCATCATCTCTTTTCCCTGGATTCCGGTATCCTATACCAGGGGAAAATGTAGATCTGTGTAACCAAAATGCTAACATGGGACATGGAAATTTGCTCTGTCTGTGATTCAACTCGGACCATTTTTATTCACAGGGCCGGTCATCCACTACATCCCCTCAAGGAGTTTAGAAATCTATCCCCTCAAACACTCGAATTCTCTATTATAAATACAAAAATCAAGTGTCACCCACCCCTCCTCCTCCTCAATCTTCCTCCTCTCCTTGTCCGCCTGGCTCTCCCGTACCGCTATCTCTTTGAAACCTATCCGTAAACGCTTCAGGCATGCTCGTTTTATTTACCAGCAGTGCCTTCATCATCACACCATCGACGCTCAACCGTTACCACTGCAGCAGCACATCCTTTGTAAAATATAATTGGTCACATCCTACATATCCATCGTAACTTGCTGATCGACAGTATCAAGTGTGACGATTCTTCGTGTGGATTTTTCAATTTCATCTGTTATTAGTCAGTTAAAACCAAAATCAATCCACAACGCGGAAAGGAATGATAAGAATTACACGCATGTGTTTATTTCTGTGACATTCATAGCTGCATCGATCGTTTGGGATATTTCAACCATTGGTCCCGACTTCTTCAAAATAATATGTTGTAGATATAATGACTCTTTGATTTTGCTTCATCCGTGTTGAACACTGTAGGACGAATCAACAGCGAGAATCCGACTGGATTCCATTTTAATTGGAGTGGAATCCCTTACGATGATGTATCTTCTATACGTGACATTGAATTTAGCTGCATTCATCGATCGCTTGTGATATTTTCATACACGGTCGTCTGCTAATTCGAAAATTATCTTCCGCCCCGCGTGTGTGTTCGGGTGATAGATGTACCATGTTTGTTCATAATTAAAAATGATAATTAAGTACCCAAGGGTTGTGGAAGCCATAAGACACAAATAGCTCTACCATCACGAAGGATAGGTCGCATTCTACGTAAGCAGGGAGAACTCAGTGATCATAATATTATGGTTCCCGGAGACATCATTGCCAATGCCTTACGTATAGCCTGTCGCAATTTTTATACAATTCTTTCACACACAACAAAAATAGAATAATTTGTTTTGATGGATCGAGAAGTGTCTGCGTTTTAGCATCATGTATCGGATTTCGTCAGAGAGCCTGTGACTAAATATGGAATTCATAATTAGACTATCAATCAATGAAAGAGATCTCTATTGTTGTTTCCCAGTGTCTGTTCTGACACATTTTGCGAGTCCGTTTCCATGCAACATAAAAGGATAATTGTGAGCTTGAGCTTCGGGGAGGTCTAGACGTATTGTCCCGAAATACAATCAGATATAATTGCCACGCCCTTCTGCAGCAGTATATTACCGCTACTGCATTTATTATACACGAATGTTGCAATACAATTCAAGCTGTAAGATGGACTATAGCTTCTTGTAACATTAATGTGATCTGCAGTATACGGAGAATACGTTAAGCGTAAGTGTATTTATCCTTTTCGCAATGTTCGGGTTTATGAGGAATTATATATATAGTTTTTAATATTATTATGCGCTTCGTTCATAATATTTGTGATCAGCATGGTTTAATAATAAGCTAGCTCGCCTCTCATACATTCATTAGTACAAATATGCACACGGCATGTACTTATTGTCATGATTTATGTCAATATGTGTCCACTTATACATGTACTTGTTTGCACCGACGACGAATATTGATTAGAATCTATTGTTGTATTGAACTCCCCTTTTGACAATAGGCATTCAATAACGTTCAATCATTCATACAGTGTAACCAGCATATATCTGTATTTTGTACTGGTGGGGTCCGACTATATAGAGTTTTATAGGCATTTCACGAGATTATTTCGATTTCTTATTTTTGAAATGAGAATATGTATTTTGAACATTTATATGTGTATACTGGTCAACTTGTTTCTGAAATTAGTGTTCTAATATTTATTTTGTTCATACCAGGACCAAGATGCAAAACAGTTATACATTATTGATCTTATTCTTATGTATCCTGCATTAAATAAATAGATAAGTAGATGTATAAACATAGGAATAGATAATTAAGCAATGATGCGGCAAGAATTGAACATATTATGACTGTAATTATATATATCTATATCTCAGTACCTTATCACCTTATTATCCCCCACCCCACCCTGTCTCTCTCTCTCTCTCTCTCTCTCTCTCTCTTTTCTCTCTCTTTTTTCCCTCTCTCTTTTTTATGCCTCCGCCACCGAAGGTGGTGCCGGAGGCATCATGTTTTCGGGTTGTCCGTCCGTACGTCCGTACGTCCGTACGTCCGTCCGTCCGTCCGTACGTCCGTCCGTCCGTCCCGTTTGACCGTTATCACAATATCTCAAGAACCATTTAAGATTTAAACTTAAGACTCGGGAATAGTATTTATCACCATAGGAAGACGATCTGATTAGATTTTGGAGTACGTAGGTCAAAGGTCACAGGTCACAGAGGTCAACTTATGAAATTCCTTGTATTGAGTTTGTTAGCGCGATATCTCAAGAACCATTTGAGATTTAAACTTAAAACTTAAGGATAGTATGTATCACCATAGGAAGACGATCTGATTAGATTTTGGAGCACGTATGTCAAAGGTCAAGGGTCACAGAGGTCAACTTATGAAATTCCATACATTGAGATTGTTATCATGATATCTCAAGAACCACTGGAGATTTAAACTTCAAACTTAGTGATAGTGTGTATCACTATAGGAAAACAATCTGATTACATTTTGGAGCACGTAGGTCAAAGGTCAAAGGTCACAGGGCTCATTATGTATGCAAAAACAGCTTGTGATCGCGTTATCTGAACAACCGATTGATGGATTCCTGCCAAACTTTGGTCATGTATGTATCTTGCAGAGCTGATGAACTGATTAGATTTTGGGGTCACGAGGTCAAAGGTCAAAGGTCACAGGGCTCATTATGTATGCAAAAACAGCTTGTGATCGCGTTATCTGAAGAACCGATTGATGGATTCCTGCCAAACTTTGGTCATGTATGTATCTTGCAAAGCCAATGACCTGATTAGATTTTGGGGTCACGAGGTCAAAGGTCACAGCGCACATTATGTATGCAAAAACAGCTCGGGATCGCGTTATCTGAACAACCGATTGATGGATTCCTGCCAAACTTTGGTCATGTATGTTACTTGCAGAGCTGATGAACTGATTAGATTTTGGGGTCATGAGGTAAAGGTCAAGGTCATGCGGCTCATTATGTATGCAAAAATAGCTTGTGATCGTATAATCATTAGAACAGATTGATGGATTCCTGCCAAACTTAGATCATTTATGTATCTTGCAGAGCCAATGAATGGTTCATAAGATCAAAGGTCATGGGCTCATTATGTATGCAAAAATAGCTTGTGGACGCATTCTCATTAGAACTGACAGATGGATTACTATTTAACTCAGGAAATCTTGCAGAGCCAATGAACTGAGTAGATTTTAGGGTCATGAGGTCAAAGATCAAAGGGTCATATATGTTTATGAGAAATTGCTTGTAATCACGATATTCTGAGAACATGTTAATGGATTACAATTGAACTTGAATTTGAAAAATTTCTTCCGTTTCGGTTTGTAAAATTGCTCTATGACGGAGGCATCATTTTCGACTGCGCGCAGTCGAATTCCATCTAGTTTTTCTCTCTCTCTCTCTCTCTCTCTCTCCCTCTCTATTTATAACATCTCAAACATTTATTAAACATTTCTTAACTTTTCCCTTCCTCTTCACTCTACTTTTTCCTTCGACCACGACTCCTCTCGATCTAGAGTTGATAACCTTCAGCCACTTTTAATTTTTGATTTTTCCCATTTGCAGGACATCGGAAGGTTCGAAACACGACGTGCAGGAGTTTTTACAAAAGTGTCTCATCACCATTTTCGTAATGGATAGGTCTACGACAACTCCTGTTGCACCTGAGAAATACGCCTACTGTGAGTGGGTCAGCTGTGAGGCCTATCTCGGACACCAGACTATCAAGGACACCGAATGCCAATCACCAGAGGACCTTGCCCGACTCTCAACAGACCTTTACCGACAGCATCTCCTCCGCGGGCGACGAAGCGGGCAGGAGGTTTACACTCGCGTCATCCCTCAGAACATCCGACTTCGAGTAACGACTCAAGCTGATGACGGTACCCGAGAAGACATCCTCGATCAGGAGTTCGACATGTTGAACATCGCGAGGTGCTCCACCGGTCACGACCCCTTTCCTCAAGTCGTCATCATCGTCCACTGCGTCGGCGTCATCGCGTCTCAAGCAGACGACACCGGGAGTCGACGCGGCGGACCTACAGGATCCGAGCCACATCTGGAGATGCGTTGTCATGGTATCGCATGTGCGAATCCTTGGATAGCATCTCGTCTGGCGAAGACGATATCCTCAGCGTTCGCAGACTCCAGGATGCTCCCCATGCAGACACAGCCGGTGTTCTTGCCACAGGGTATGCCGCAGAGCAGGAAGATCAGTCGGAACTCTGTGAGTACCATAGCAGCTGCTCCTCCTGCATACCAAGCAACGGCTCGTACCTATGATCCTAGCAGAGGAAATAGCCCGCGGGATCCTTTAGGTGCTGTCGGACATCAGACGCCAAGGAAGGAGGAGAAGAAGGGACTTCCCGAGGTGGGTGCTTGGTGAAACGTTATATCCCTCAAAACATGTTTATGGATGTTTTGTTCTCTTTGAATTTTGATCAACGGTCTGTAAGTTTTATTGGACGGCTATTCAATTGGCCAACGTATTAAGATTTGAAGAAGATGTGATACTCTTTGAGCACATAGCTGTTCTGCGGCCAAACGATGACCGATGGCTATTCAAATGGCTAACGTATTCTTTAAAAAGTGACAACGTTGGCCAAGGATTTGGCTAAGATGTGATACTCTTGGAGCACATAGCTGTTCGACGGCCAAACGATGACCGTTTTCTATTAGCTTTGAAAATTGTAAGAGGATAACCCAAGATGTCGCAACGACTTGACATATCTGCTAACCGTCCTCCTTTCAGAATTTCCTACTCTAAATTACATTGTAGTTTATCACCAAGATGGAAAAGTTGATTCTGTGATAGTCAGTTTGGCAACATTTTTTGCTTGATTGATTTAGCCGTTCACAACATACATGAAGGATTTATTCCAAAAGGAAGCGACGCCGAATGAGATTTCTTGAGAATGCAGGCGTTAAAGAGAGAACTTCTAAGGATGATATCACCCAGTTTATATGAATTAAACAATTAAAGAAATCTATATTTTAACACTTGCTTTTTAATAGCAAAATTGTACATTACTTCTAAAACTAAAAAGTTTATATTCTAGAAAAGTCTAGAGACGATCAGAACACGACGACCTTACTGTCTTTGTTTTGTTTTTGGTGCTTCTTTGTTTGATTGTTTGTTTGTTTTTAATGAGAGGTAAACAAAAAGATATCTCTCAACTCTCAACTATTGATATAACAACAAAATAAATGTAATATTCATCGTGCAAAGTTGTCAAAATCAAACATCAGTCAAACTCTTATTATTACGTCAGTACACGATGTACCTCGAACACAATGGCAAGGAATTTCAAGAAATCCCCTTAAAGGCACACTGCCATACTTGTAGCTACTTGCTCCCTCTATATAGAAAACTTCCCCAATCGGTGCCTGTTGGTCCCCCATGATCCTCTTTTTCTTATGTTAAATGAGAGCTGAGTTAATGAGATAGCCACCTGTCACAGTGACCTCGATGGCTCTCTGTGTGGTCTAATCCCTTCTGGCCCAGTAGTGGTGACGGTCTTTAAGGGCGATATGCCATTTCGTACCGTAATAAAATTGAATGCATACATCTTTGTTAAGTGCCTCGTTACGAATTATTTCATTCACCTGTTACGATTTAATATTAATTGTATTTCAATAGTCAAAATGTGAATAACACACATTTCGTGTTGTTAGGAAGGGCAAGCTATAATGTCTGCCCTACCTAGCAACAACTATAGCATGCAATATGTATTCTGACTACTTAAATACAATATCCGTAACAGGTGAATGACATAATTTGTATTGAGGAACTTAACAAAGACTTATACATTAAATTTGATAACATTACGAATATAGCCTATTCCGAGACCACATTGCTTTTAGAAATTATGTTCGAATATTATTATGTAATGTGTCACTCTTACTATTCATATAATTATTGCTTGTTCACATATACCAAAAGATGCCAAACAAGGTTATTGAATATACTGTGGGTTTATTTTAGAAAGCCTTTGGCAGTGTTGGGCAAATTGAATCATACATACAGTTAACTAAATTAATCATTAAAATCTCCGCACATTATCTAGGCAGGATCATTGTTTTATGTGTATCTTGTTTGAATAATCGTGATAATGGAAAAGGGGAGGGGGAGGGGGGGAGACCAAGCTTATAATATCCCCAACCCGGACAAAGCACATTGCGTTATACAATCACTCGTATAGGCATGTTTCTCAGGAAAAAATAGCCACCAACGGAACGCTAACCCTAACCCTATGTTATGCAAAACAAGATGTGCAAATGTTGTGCACCTGCTATGTTTAGAAAATGCGTCTACGAATGATTTTTTTGTGAAGCCCCCATTCTCCCTCCCTCAATCCGCCACTGTCAATATCCATGAACCCTCATTGCCTTCCTCTCTCCGTCCCCCTGAAGGCTCTCGCATGCTCTCTCTCTTTCTTTCTCTCTCTCTCTCTCTCTCCCTCTTTTTTTTTCTCTCTCTCTCTCTCTCTCTCACTCCCTGCCCACTATTTCTATATCTCTCTCCACTCTGCGCAAACATCGTTGCACAATATAATGACATAATTCTGACAGATGCAAGCACATCATCGATGTCGCGTATGATTAGGGGAGGGGGGGGGGTGTCCGGACATTAACAAACATATTTAAGCTTTCACATTTGCCTTCCGTTTTAACGACAAATAATCATATACCACTAGCTCTAACCATCATACATATTTGTCCTTTTTAATATTGCCCAAAGTAAGTCTTAGAAAATGTATGATACTGTATATTGCTTGTAAACTTCTTCAAGTTGCTGTTTTGAATCAACAATTATTGTTCAGATACACAACCTGTCCGGACACACAAGGTTTGGGTTTATAAGACTTAGTAATTTAAAAGAAAAACACCTCCTTGTTCAGACAAAACACTAGAATCTATTTGATAATCGTTTTCATTCAAGAAATCTGTGTACCCAACATATTTCTTATGTAAATGTGTGAGAACTGTTTCTTTACTTTAAAAAATAATAGATAAGTGATACTTGACATCATCTGAGCAGCAGCGAGCCAGTTTGACTATCCTAGTTAGCACTCTTATTACAGGGAGTGCTGGTGTGACCAGCTGCCAACAAATATTTGTTGATAACCGAACTGGCTATTTTTTTTGGAAAGTGTTCAATATTAATTATCATATGCCAATTTAACAAACCATTAAAGTACTCTGACGTATTTAAAGGAGAATAATACGGAAATGTTATGAAGTAAAAGCAAAAAGTAGACCTAGGGCGTTACATATAAAGTACATGTATGACACAATTAAAAATCACTGACAAGTTGAACTAAAAAGAGCGAGTGATTCTTAAACATTTTGTCTAATACCTTCGTGTTCTTTGAAAAGAGGTTCTTGATTCCCTCCCAGCAGCTGGTCCCATTGGTCTCAGTAGAACAGCTGCTTTTCTTTTCGATTTCATCCTCGGATAGCACAGGCACAACTTTGGATTTCGACGAACCCATAATTGCAAGCGATCCGAAACAATTCTGAAGAAATTTCCAAAAATTGCTAGACAAAAGCAAATAGCTAGTTAGCACAAAAGAGATAACTAGAAAGTGAAGTACAACGCACGTTAATACGTTGGTAGTTACCAGAGAAGTGCGCATGCGCATATCATGCTATAACGCGCTCATGCCTCTTACGTCATCAATGGCACAGATGCGCGCATACAAAAGTTGCAAACTTTTCCTGTATGGAAACTTCGGCAGGTCCAACGCATTCTCTACTAGAAAGGCGTAGCCGGGAATCGAACCGAGTACATCTGCATTGTGAAGCGATGTCTTATCCACAAGTCCACTGTGCTTCACTGATATTAACTTTTTCGGTTCAAGATGTTAACACTTTCTGATGTTAATGACTTTAAAAAATATGCTGATAAACTACTTGTACTCCTTTGTTGAGAAGGAGAGGGTGGCCCCTAAACAAAAAAGAGATGGACGAATCAATATGAAGAAAAAAATGCTTGAAAAAATACGAGGTAGAAAGGCATAGCCGGGAATCGAACCGAGTACATCTGCATTGTGAAGCGATGTCTTATCCACAAGACCACTATGCTTCACTGATATTAACTTGTTCGGTTCAAGATGTTAACACTTTCTGATGTTAATGACTTTAACAAATATGCTGAAAAACTACCTGTACTCCTTTGTTGAGGAGGAGGGGGTGTCCCCTAAACAAACAAAAACAAGATGAGAAAAAAACGCGAGGTAGAAAGGCGTAGCCGGGAATCGAACCGAGTACATCTGCATTGTGAAGAGATGTCTTATCCACATTACCACTGCATGTGCTTCAATGTTATTAACTTGTTCGGTTCAAGATGTTAACACTTTCTGATGTTAATGACTTTAAAAAAATATGCTGATAAACTACTTGTACTCCTTTGTTAAAGAGGAGGGGGTGTCCCCTAAACAAAAAAAGAGATGAAATAAAAAAATACGAGGTAGAAAGGCATAGCCGGGAATCGAACCGAGTACATCTGCATTGTGAAGAGATGTCTTATCCACATGACCACTGTGCTTCACTGTTATTAACTTGTGCGGTTCAAGATGTTAACACTTTCTGATGTTAATGACTTTAAAAAATATGCAGATAAACTAATTTTACTCCTTTGTTGAGGAAGAGGGGGAGTCCCCTAAACAAACAAAAAAGAGAAGGACAAATCAATATGAAGAAAAAAATGATTAAAAAAAACGAGGTAGAAAGGCATAGCCGGGAATCGAACCGAGTACATCTGAATTGTGAAGCGATGTCTAAATAGTTTAGTACTTTTGAATATGTGAAAAATTGTTTCGCCCCGATTTATGTTTCTTGAGAATGTGACATCTAAAAGTATTCAAAAAAGGCACTAATTCAACCAGTATACCTTTCATTCTTGACTTACGAAAAACACCCACCCCCCCCCCCCAAAAAAAAAAACACACATACAATTTACATGGGGTATGAATAATTTAATTGTTCACTGTATAAACTGCTTATGTCAATGGATGCTGCCAGAATCGTTGTCTTTATTGTTTGCCGCCTAATATCTAATTTTCCTATGTGTACATGTAAGTGAACTGTTTTATGTACCTCACATTTCTAACTCTTTTGATTTAGGCTATCAACAATAATATTCTCCAGAGCTCTTCAAACAAACAACGATCAACAGTTATCACATGCAATTGGTAAAATTGTTTATATTTGGTATGGTGTGTCTTTTTTTTAAACTATCCTTTATTCTTTTGTAATGTTGAATTGTTAATTTGAGGTTTTTCAGGTGTATACCATGGGAAAGGTTTTAGTGTAAATACACTTAGGCTTGTGAAACCGATGTGGTATATATGGAATTCGATTATCCCCACAAAGTCAATTTTATGATAGATATTCATATATGAAATTGTTACATAATTTTTCATTATGCATTTCATCTTTAAAAAAATTGCTATATAAATACAAACTGCAAACGAACACTTAAACTGGAAAACGTGGTCCGTCTTTATTGTGTGCACATTATCATCTCTATAATAAAGAATGCCATGATATTTTTAACAATAAATCACTTTTGGTGTCATCATTAAGTGTATTCAAATCGTGCTTCTCGAATTTCCCATGTAGAGTTAAACATAAAAAACATTACAATTGTACAGAAAGATTATATAGATAATGATTGTAAAGATGTGTAATATAACATTTTGGGGGGCCGCCGAAGGGAGTTAAATTTTCGCAAGAGATTATATTTTCACAAAGCGCGAGCGCTGAGGGAAAATAATACTCCCTTGCCTTCCAAAAAAATGTTATATTACATTTCACACCCTACCAGTCAATATCTGTTATACCTGATAGCCTTGATTATACTATATTGTTATATTAAGGGTAATTGCGATCTCAGGCCTTGATTTTTCCTAGAAGAGCCATCCAGCCTTCCACTATAGTGCGCGCATGTTTGCTTAAATACAGTAGGACACAAAAATATACTACATTTAATACCGGGTGGTCAATATGACTCCGAAAAACTGCCGGTTAGTGAAATATGCTATTTGCGATCCTCGCAATTAATATCACGTCACAAGCAGTACACCAATCACAACTTTGTGACTGTAACAGTTGTCTTATATAACATGATCTCTAAATCATTAACAAGACCTTCTTTTCCCACGAGGGTAGTACATTTTGTTGTTGATTCATTGCCAATTTGAGAAACCTTACGAAACCTTTCTTCTACCTTCAGTTTCTGCCACACCACAACGGAATAGATATCGCCTTCCAAAATGTTCTGCAGCCCCCATCTAACATTAAAAATGTTGGACACGAAAAATGTATTCTTTATGTATTATGCGAGGTAATATCTTTTTAAATGAGC